AAATATTCAGCACTACCATTGTATATTAATTGTATTAATATTGCTTGGACATTAGTGTTAAGTTAAATCTGAATCACCTGTCTCTTTATAAGTTTCCTTCCGTCTTCCTTTAATTGAGACAAAGTATTATATTTTTAAAAAGATTTTTTTTTAACGATTTCAATTGAAGGAAACAGAAGCAAATAATTTAAATTTTTGTGTTGGATATGCATGGGCCATTTATCCTCAAAATGGCCCTATTTTTCAGTAGATATTAGATTTTTTTTTAATTATCTATCCTTTTTACCATGGATTTAAAAATATTTCGTATATGTATACAGGGTACTAGCCAGTATTGTACCCATGTCAATGCAACATTGGAAATCAATCATCATTTGTTCCACCTTCAACATGATATTAGTTTTCCCTCAATAAGAGGATTTGTCATTAATTTACTGACCTCATGTACTAATCATCTTATAACTCGATTTATGTATCCTTTGTCTCATACGGTGTGTGAGACTAGTTGTTGGAAAAGAAGAGCAAACCATTACTGCTATATATCAATATGACCACCAGCTTTGACTGTTTAAATTATAATTTTAGTTTCTACACTACTTAACTGTTTTTTTTTCTTTTATATGAAAATAATTTATATTTTAGTTTCTATATTAAAAATTATAATTTTATTCCTCTTATTTTTGAAGTTATAATAGCATTAATGTACTTTTAATGTACCTATAATATCTCATATATAGGAACTAAATTATAGCTTTTTAATACGAAGGGCCAACATAAAGTACAGGTATAATAATTAAAATAAAAATAATTTAGTATATAAAATATAATTTAATATTATTCTAACTTGAATAAATAATACAAACTAATTTGTAACCATTTTTTATACAAAAATTAAAATATATTTTTTTATATAGAAATAAAAAAATCAAGTGTAAGAATTGAATTTATAATTAAACCATATTTATGCAAGAACAAGAATATTTAAAGGGTGAAATAAACAACTGAGTCCACCACCGAAGTCTACTTCATAATGGGTAGGCATCAAGAGGAAGAGAAGGAGGAGTATATCAGAATATTGACAAATTGGTGAGGAATTGTCATATCAAATTTTTATTGAAAATTTGTAAATAAAATAGCTTATCTGAAGTAATGGTGTGTGCTATATTGTTATTTCTTCACTGAGAGCTTTTATTGGCATGAACATTGCAAGTCGCAACCTTTATCTCCTTAATTAAAGACAAAAGGAGCAGAAGATCAACAATAGAAGAGTGGAAGGGCTCTGTGAAATTACGAAACTTGCCATCCAATCTCCAGAAAGTAACTTTCAGCTTTACAAAAAGCTCTTGGGTGGGATTTATTTAAAGTGACCAATCAAAAGTTTGATTATATTGCTGTAACAAAAGCACGATTTGACTTAATTAATTAGGGTGACTAAATTTATAACATCTTGACGTGACTTAATTCAACAATTTTCAGTAATACTTGGTTCAACGGGCTAAGCTCTGTTCCTCGTCCATCTGTGATCCTGTGGACCAAAAGGTCCAATTAATTAAAAATCTTATGGGCTGAAAAATCCGCTAGATCGGGGAAATCAGAGCTTTATGGGCCAAAATATTGATGTTAAAAAAGCTAACTACAAATTCAGACTAGGATTAATTATTGTGATAGTTTTCACAGGATCCATACCAGATAACTACCAACTACAACTTAGCATGTCACAAAATCATAACTTAGATTATAAAATATAGAATCTCTGATTTTAGAATATTGAATTTTTAAAATACAAGACAAAATTTAACTAGTATCTTTATATTAGCTCCAACGTTTGGTATTAGAACTTCATTTATTTTTTAGGAACTTGGTAAGATTGAGAGTTTCATCAAACACCTAAAAAACTACATTGAAAATTGAAATAGAAAGTGAAGTATGATATTGTGGTTGTCAAATTTTGTGTCTACTTAGTTAATCCTTGAGGTTCTAAAGGTTAACTGGGAAGATGTTGGGAGGCAAAAGAAGGTCAAAACTCAATTGATGGAAGCAATAGAATAGCCATAGAAGCACCATGATACATTTAGTCGTATTGGGACTCACTTTCCAATGGGTGCACTAATGTTTGGGCATCCAAGATGTAGTAAAATCTTCACAAGACGAGTAGTTGCTTCCAAAGTAAGGCTGAATTTTCTTGCAGTTAAGGGTCCTGAACTCTTCAACAAAATGGATTGGCAAATCTGAGAAGACTTGTTGCATCATTATTTGTGAAAACCAAGGGCCAATGCCCTCAATGGTATTTTTTGATGAAATAGATGGTTTGCTGTAACTCGTGAGAAGTAAAGTGACAGTGTTTCAGTGTTAGATTGGGTCATGAGTCAACTTCTTGTTGAGTTGGTTGGTTGGTGATGCATCTCGAGCAGTAGAACATTACTTAAATATATATTGCTTATGATGTAAGAGGACTGATAAACTGCTTAGGCCTCATTCAACTTGTGTATGACTTCAACATGTTGGTCTGAAAATGAATTTTTGTGAAATCAATTATTATTTGAACTTTGTTGAGGTGATGAGTTTCTTGAAGCATTCTTTAAGAAAGACCAATGAAACGGATCTTCAAGAGGATGAACAACACTTCCTTGTTTGTGCAATCTATGAAAACTGAGCCAAATTTGTTATAGAAGAAGAAGTGGATCTCAAATTTTGAAAGAATCAAAAGAGAAAAAAAATTTAAGTAGAAAGAAAAAAACAATGGATTAAGAATGAATGACACTACTCTGAAGGATTAGAGAGATAAGTCTCTTTACCTCACCACATGGAGGAATTCTATGACAATATAAGTGGATCCTAAAGAATTTTAGAGAGAATTCCTAAAGAGCAAAAGTGAGAAAATCATACAAATGAATTTCAATTTAAATTTTACAAGGTAGTTAGCCTATATATAGGTAAGCTAACTCAAGACCAAATACATCTTTAATAGGCCATGAACAAGTAATAAGGGGATGAGAGTTGGGCTGAATACATGTCCTTAAACATAGCCCAATGCATGCCTAAACAAAAATACAAGAGACTCTACCTTAAAGCTTCCCAGGCTCATAACCAAAATACAAGGTCCAAAACTAAATTAAGCTAAATATGAATAAAGCAAATACAAAAACTGTGTGTGTGTGTATATATATATATATATATATAGGCTTCCCAGGCTCATAACCAAAATACAAGGTCCAAATATGAACAAAGCAAATACAAAAAGCGTGTGTGTATATATATATATGTGTGTGTGTGTGTGGACTTCTGGCTCTTAGGATCACATCAAGAAGTCATTTTTTCTTTTGATGAAAACTTCATTTGTGCCAAGTCTGCATCAAATAGTTAATGTTACCATCATAGCTGCTACAAATAGGCCAGACAAGATCAACGCTGCCCTTTTGAGGCCCGGTATTCTATCTATTCTGTTATTCTGTGTCTTACTCACATTGCACATGCGGATAAACAAAGGTGAATGACTTGTATAAATAGCTTAAATTTTAATTGATTGACAAAAGACGCTTACATACAGGATGCTCTGCTATATGTTGGACCTCTAAATGAGGTGGACAGTGAAGAAATATTTCGCATTCATTTGCATAAAATCCCATGTGACTCTGATGTTAGCATTAAAGAACTAGCTCAATTGACAGATGTTTGTATATTGATATGTCAAGAGGCAACTGTTGCAGTAATTAAGGTTTGTCATTCAACATGATTTTTGATAGAGTTGTCACTTATCACAGTTCATTAATTTCTAAAACTTGTTCTGATGTTATGTTACCAGGAGAGCCATGATGCTTCAGTTATAACGATGATACATTTAAATATGGCAATCAAACAAATTCAACTATCAGAAGTTCAGTCTTACCAAAGCTATCAACAAAATTTCAAGAGAGTGTTCACTGCTATAATATAAAAGATGAATATTGTTAAGATACATATTTATAGATAGTAGAACTAAATCTTAACATTTTATGAATGTGAGATTTACAAACTCGTGAAAGAAAAAAGAAAACAATACCAAGATAGAGCACATAGATGATGAAAAATACAAAGATATTATTTGAACAATATGAACATCGATTAAGCAAAATCACATTCATAAATATCTTTTGAATAAAATAAACTCACTACTGGATGAAGTATAATTTACTCCTTTATCAAGTTTATTACTATTATTATTAAATATATATAATGCTATTATTCTCACAACTAACAACCTCAATGTTAACTATAGAAAAATGATCAAACCTATTATTCTTTGTTTTTACCTAATTCAAAATGGCTAGACAAAGTTCTAGATGAAGTCTTCATAAAAGATGAGTATGAATGAATTTCTAATTTTGTTAATGCTGGTTTTAAAGAATTCTTTGATATTTGGAAATGATGGTCACAAACAACAGTAGCAGCTCCAGTTCAGCACCTGTGAAGAGCTCTGTATCTTCTGCTAGCCCTCTGAGATCAACATCACTGCCTAGTTTCATTTTGCAAGTATGTACACAAAGTAGTAAAACAAAAGGGGTAGAGTAGTTGGTAACGAGGAGAAGAGGAGAGGAGTAAAAAGAGAGTTGGAGTGGGAGAAAGAGGGAATCAGGAAAGGAAGAGAGGAGAGTAAGTGTGAATTGATGATTAACCCTGATTGACTGCAGCATCGAGCAATAAAATTTAAAATTTGATCTATTATTATTATTAATAAATAACTCATTTTATTGTTTTTTAGTTTTATTTTACACTTTTTACATTAAATTGATCCGTTTGTGAACACTCTTAATTACAAAATAAATGAAAAATTAATTCTATTATATAAAATTTCTAAGAAACAAATCACTCTTTTACGTACATCATAATTTTTTAAAAGCTTAAACAAATCCGTCAAAAATTTCTAATTTGTAAAATTTTGTTAACTATATTAATTAGACAGTGACATTTTCGAAAAGGGTAATCGTCCATTACGAATTGAACCATTTGAATGCAGCATAGAATAACATTGACAAAAAAAAAAAAAACATGCAGTATAACAGAGTAACATGGGGTAGCCACCATAATAAGCATTCCATGAGAAGCGATCACATAACACTAACAAAACTGGTAGCAGAAGGGTTTTACAAAGAAGCCCTTCACCTCTTCTCACAACTCCACTCTTCTTCCACCACTCTTCACTCCTTCACTTTCCCCACTCTCTTCAAAGCATGCACCAAACTCTGTTCTCCTTCCAACGCCCAAATCCTCCATACCCATCTCCTCAAAACCGGTTTTTATTCTGACCCACATGCCTCCTCAGCCCTCACCGCCGCCTACGCTTCCAACCGTCGCTTCTTTCTCGACGCACGCAAGGTGTTCGACGAAATGCCCCAACCAAACCTTGCTTCTCTCAACGCCGCGCTTTCTGGTTTTTCGCGAAACGGGCGTCGAGGAGAAGCTCTTGCTCTGTTCCAGCGAGTTGGGTTGGTGTCCTTGAGACCCAACTCCGTCACTGTCGCGTGTTTGCTCGCTGCTACTAACGTGGATACTAACCACGTTGCGCAGTTGCATTGCTGTGCATTTAAGTTAGGGGTTGAATTGGATGTTTATGTTGCCACCGCGCTTGTTACTGCTTATTCGAAGTGTGGAGAGTTAGTTTCTGCGACTAAGGTGTTTGATAAGTTGTTATTGAAAAATGTGGTGAGTTACAATGCTTTCATTTCGGGTTTGTTTCAGAATGGTGTTCCTCGTTTGGCCTTGGATGTGTTTAAGGAGATGATGAGGGGGAAGGAGTGTTTAGAGCATAGAATTAATTCAGTGACGTTGGTGTCTGTTCTTTCTGCGTGTGTTAGCCTCTTGTATGTTCGTTTTGGAAGGCAGGTTCATGGGCTTACAGTGAAACTTAAAGCAGGTGAAGAGGTTATGGTGGTGACTGCACTCGTGGATATGTATTCGAAGTGTGGTTTTTGGCGTTCTGCTTTTGATGTCTTTTCAGCGGTTGAAGGGGAGAGAAGGAATTTGATCACTTGGAACTCCATGATTGCGGGAATGATGTTGAATGAACAGAGTGAGAGAGCTGTTGATATGTTTCAGAGGATGGAGGGTGAAGGGCTGCAACCTGATTCAGCAACTTGGAATTCAATGATCAGTGGGTTTGCAAAACAGGGTGTGCGTGTGGAGGCTTTCAAGTACTTAAGGAAAATGCAGTCTACTGGAGTGACTCCGTGTTTGAAAATTCTTACAAGTCTTTTGTCGGCGTGTGCGGATTCGTGTGTATTAGGACATGGAAAAGAGGTACATGGATATATTATAAGGATTAACGTTAATATGGATGATTTCTTGGCAACTGCTCTTGTTGACATGTACATGAAATGTGGGCATGCTTCGCGGGCACGGGGAGTTTTTGACCAGTTTGATGCAAAACCTTATGACCCGGCATTTTGGAATGCAATGATAGGAGGGTATGGAAGAAATGGAGATCACGAATCTGCCTTTGAAATCTTTGATAAAATGCTGGAAGAAATGGTTCAACCAAACAGTGCAACATTTGTTAGTGTTTTATCTGCTTGCAGCCACACGGGTCAGGTTGACAGAGGATTACATGTTTTCAGAATGATGAGAAGAGAGTATGGCTTGCAGCAAAGGCCTGAGCATTCTGGTTGCATGGTTGATCTTTTGGGTCGGTCTGGTCGATTGGGTGAAGCTCGAGACTTGGTGCAGGAACTGGCAGAGCCTCCTGCATCAGTTTTTGCTTCTTTGCTTGGTGCATGTAGGGGTTACCTAGATTCTAATCTTGGGGAAGAAGTGGCCATGAAGCTTCTAGATATAGAACCAGAAAACCCGGCTCCTTTGGTGGTCTTGTCTAACATATATGCTGAGTTGGGAAGATGGAAGGAAGTAGAAAGGATAAGAAGGATGATCACAGATAAAGGATTGGACAAACTCTCTGGCTTTAGCATGATAGAAGTTGCGTGAGAAATACTTATATGTAGAAAAACTGTAAATGAAATGTTTTATCTGATAACATAAGAGTTTGTTACATATGGAATGTTTCATCTATTTGAACTTCCGTAAAAATCACTGATTCAACATCTCCTTCACTGCAAATCCATAGTAATCATCAAAATGGTAAGGAGGTTCAGTGACAAAACACGAGATTACGTCTCTCAGTGTAATGACTCCAACTACTTCATCCTGTTCATCTACCACGTAAATCCTGTGAATAGACTGAGAAGCAAGAGTATGGATCACGCTCTGCAGTGTTGAGTCAGGCTTGCATGTTATGGGTCGTGTAACTTTTCCAGTTTGTGGGGATATAGAGGCAATTTGGTTTATGAAATCCATCACAGTGAGTTTCCTGAAAGTCAAAATAAAAGAATGGTGAAGGAGACGATTTTAGTAAGGGCCCTTACAAGCTTATGTGATGGCCACGGGTGGGAACCATTGTTTTTTTTTACCTTGAATTAAAAGAAAAAATCACCTCACTCATACACATTCAGACTCATGTCTGTTAAGTAGCTAATCATATGAACCTGGTTGATTAATATTCTTTTTAAACTTGGTTCTTATTTGATTATCTTCTTTTTCATTTTTATCTAAAATGCTAGTATCTTGTATATGTTTCTTAGCATTTTTTTTCTTTCAAAAAATTAATTAGGAAAAAATGACCGTACATGTCAGATTTTTTGCTGTAAAGAGGAGGGATTATGGATGGAGGATCGAAAAAATTTCCATGCAGGTTCAAGATTTGTTGCTTTGACTTACCTAAAATTGGTGAAAAGCTCTTGCCTTAGCAGCAAGTATCTGATGTCTCGAATGCTTAAGTTTCCAACAATTCTCTTCGTTGGCCCCTCTACCACAGGAAGACCACCAATTTGATTATCCTTCATCTGCTTGAAAGCTTCAAGAATCAATTCATTGGTCTGGATGCTAATAACCTGAACAGGAAGAAAAATGAAGTTTTTAAACCTTCAAGACGAGGACAGCTGAAAATTTAAAACACCAATCCTTGCCTCATCTGTAGACATAAATGGAAGCCCCAGAGCATCTATAGGCTTTCCCGCAATGCTGTCAAACCAATCTCTTCCTTTGCATCCCTCGAGACCTTGGACAACTGCAGACTGAGTAATGAAGTTTATAATGTCAGGTTTACCTGGTTCTATCACAGGTACATTCCTCAGCCTATACTTTGAGAGAAGCAGCAGGACAGTCAACATAGCGCTATTCCTTGCAACTGGAACAAAAGGCGCCCATCGATACGATTTAAGTATGGATCGCACCTGAAACCAAAAATCAACAAAATATATACCTTTGTGGAGCAAAGAAAAGGATTTAGTTGCCCGTAATTAGCAAATTTATATAAAAGAAAAAAAATATCTAATGGATTATGTACAAACTGTCAATCAGTCATCACTATTTGGTTAAAAGAGCCAAGGAGGAAAAATGCTCATACCAAGAAACAGAAAACCTAGCATTCAAGACAAGAACTTGCAGTTAACTACAGAACCTCTGCCTTTATCATGCTTACCGTTGTTGACTTGAAGGGTTCTTCTTGCAGTATTACTTTGTAAAAGTCCTCTCCCAGGTTATCAGCAGCTTGAGGAGCATCTTTGCCCATCCCTTTTTCTGCAGCAATGCCACCTGCCACTGCAGCACCTGCTGCTGCAGCAGTTAGCCCAGCGATTGCGGCAGGACCTGTCACTCCCAATGCTAGTGCTCCCAAAGCACCAATGGCTCCTGCACCAACTCCAGCTGCTGTTGCTGTACCCGCTGATAGGGCAACTGCAGCAAGTTCTGCACCCTCCAGCACCCACAGAACAATTGCTGAATAATCTATTACACCAAGGTACCTGTCTCTCCAATTCAAAGTAGTAGCTGCATCTGGGTCTTTAACTGGAGCTGCTAAAATGTTACTTTCAGATAGAATCTTGACTGCTTCACCAATGGGCGTGTCTGCTAGAATTTCAATCACTACCGAAGTGTTTTACAAGTTAGTGTTTTTGGCCTTGGAGATCTTTGTCTCATTAAATGCACAAGGTGATATTGATTGTTAACCCCTTACCTTTTCCACTAGGAACTGCTGGAAAAGAAGAAACAGGTATCTTTGCAAATGCATCTGTCAACGTCTCCTGCAATGTCAGTGGTAGTTTCTTTCTGGATTGTATGGTTTCAAAGTAGGTATCGCACTTTGAAAGTGTGGTTGTTGTTCTGAACTCTTGTGCTTGCGCCATATTTGGAACTAAAGACACATGTTGATATTAATTCATGTTTCAATAATATTCATGAAATTTCAGAACTGAAATATCTAGACCCTGTCTATTTAGCCATAGGCTTTGTCACATTTTTCAATATATATATATATATGGAGAGAGAGAGAGAAAGAGAGAGAGAGTTCTTGTGGTGACATTATAAATGCTCAACTCTTGCGACCGCACCGGACAAAACGCTTCTTTTGAACTTATGAAGATATAAGTAATTCTATTGTCATTTCGGTTCATTCATCTATTTGATCTTAATCACCCCCTAGGATTTTGTTTATATGACAAGTGACTGAAAGCCTTTGATGGCTGGATCGCATGGTTTCATGTGGCAAGGCCATGTGTTATGTTCTATATTCATATGGGAGTGACTTTGTATGATACCTCCTGCAAGATTCCGTTATACAACTCTTCGATCCGTTCATCCTCTAGATGAACTAGTTAGTAATCAAACAAAATGATTCATATCCTAAATCATATATATATATATATCACAGGCCACCACTGCCATTTCCACATAATCTAATGTTTGATTGGCATGGCTAAATCAAAAGAATTGTATATCATAACGAGTGAATTTAAATTACTATTTTGATGAAGAAATTGTTTATCCTAGGATACAGAAACATGAAACTGATTATGTCAACTGCAAAAATCAATAAACAAACGTTATACAGTTTTAAACTGCTCCATGCAATGCTTCTAAATTGTAATGCATGAAAAATAGATTTTGATTTGAAGCCAGAAAGAGAGAAACAGATGGTGAAAGGTTGAACTTGACGTACCTATCAGCGTGTGAATGGCAATGGATTCAGACCCCCGTTACAGTTTTATTTCTTGTTTCTGTGATCTATATTGGAGAAGCGGTTATATGTAGTTTTTTTTTTCTAATGACTGCTGGGGGTTGCTAGCTATGCCACGTGTTGTTATAGGACGAGTGTCAAAGGCTGGTTCAACCATTTGTAAACTGCTAATTGCTTTGCAACCCTTAGAAGCACTATGATGGTTTGATCGTGTCATACCTCAGTTTTTATTTTGTCAACATCTTACCTCAAATCTTGACATACAAGGCCCAAAATTCGCCCTTAGCCCAATGGCCCATGTATCTAATGGGGGGTGAGATGTAAATGTAAAACAGTCATGGAGATTACTATTTACACTTGTCACTTTTGAAATTTAATTTCTGAAAATTATTTTAGAAGTGTGGTTAATACATTCTGAAGATTAATTTAAAAAAATATTTTATAGATAACTTAAAACTTAATTTTCCAAATTATAAAATTATTAAAAATTATTAAAAATTAAATTCTGAAATCGACAATAAAAAAGGTGATATGGCTAACCCAAAAAAAAAAAAAAAAAAAGAGAAAGAAAGATGATACAAAAAGTAATTTAGATACTTTGGTCCCGTTATGACACAAAAATAGAAGGGTTCTGCTTGGATTTGCAATTAAAATAAGCCCCCATTTCATGTTAGAGGAGAACGAAACCAAGTTGTGCAGTCTATTGCATGTGTCTCGTTTTGGGAGATAACTACTGGGTCGAGGATTTACAACCGAATGCAACGAAATTTGCTTATCTTGATGTTCATAATTGTATCCTTTTCTAGTTAATGATTTTCACATAATACCATTAACATGAAAAAGAGCATAATAATGTGGGAAGTTTGATCTTATTTCATTATCTAAGCGGCTTGTCATCTTCTCATAATTCCCAAAAGTTTACATGATCTCTTTTTCGTTCACATTTTGTTTACTTGTTATCGTAATTAGCGTCGAGTCTCGCTAGTAGCCATATGCTAGCATTAACAGACTCCGCCTCCAAACTTAAAGGGAACTTCATCAACTCAAATGGTACGGGAAGGATGCTTCATATTATCAAATCCGTTTAATAATAATAATGATAATATGTTTATTGGCAAAGTAACAACTTCGTTCATTATACAAAGGAAAATGATATTACCGTGTGCTATATACTCTTAATTGAATTTTTGAACGGCCTTGAAAACTGATAATCGAAGTCCTTCCATTTAGTACTAGCCAAAACAAAATATGAAAAACTGTAGATGTAACCTTTTGCATGTCCGTTGTAGGCTATGTCAACCACTCGTTTGATGAACCCTTTGGCATTGCAAAAATGGTTTTAAGTTGTTTCACTTTCATTGCTCCAAGAGCTGGTTACGTGTACGTGTAGTCGAAGACTAGCCAGACACACTTTTAGAAACTGGTAATTGTGTGGTGCAAATATAATCTAGTTTTCTTGTTGAGAATTAAGAGCAGCGGAAGACATATTCAAGTACATTGATGATACACATTCTTTGCTATTTTTGGCTAGAAGTGTAGGACACATTTCCACTACTTAACTTTAAGTTCAGTTCTGCACTCTCAAGAACACGAGTTTCTCTTAACCTACCACCCCCAGCTTCACTGCCAACACATGCTGTGAGAGCAGTTGCTAATACTGATTGAAAATTTGGGTTACTTGTGATGATTGCCTTGGTTGCAGGCAAAGACTGTTGAGAAATGGTGTGGTTGCTCATGTAAATAGGTTGATGGGGATGCTCCTGAAATGGTTGCTTTCCAGTGTTTACCAAGTAACCGCCTTGGTTTCTATTTTGGGGTAGTGTTTTTGTATTGAAATAACCACTATAACTGCTCCATGGAGAATGTGGCATACTAGATTGTAGAGGAGAGAAACATGAGGAAAAATTGAGGTTTGTTGATGAGTATATTGGCATGAAAGAGAAGGTTGAGGTAAAATTTCCTGAATTTGAGGAAGTTGGGGGTGTTGTAAGGTCCAAAGTGATTGTGGGGTGTGAATTTAAGGTGGAAATAGAAGAGTTGGGGAAGTAGAATTGATGTGGTTTTGAAATTTGGTACGTTGAGAAGTTTAGAGCATTGGGGTTGTAAGCAGCACTAGAGTTGATGATGGAGGCTATAGCTGAATTTTCTAGTCCTTGTGAACTCAGTGAGGGAGATTGAAGTAATGTAGCGGCAGCAGAAGTTGTGGAGGCCATTGCAGTTGCTGACGTAGGAAGTGGATGACTGTGGGTTCCTTCATAGGTGGTAATCAATATGGACATATCCTCAGCACATCTTTGCACCTGAAAAATTAGAAGCAAAAAGTAAGGTTAATTACTAATTTTTGTTCAAATCTTTTGAGCTTAATTTGAAATCATAAATAGTCAAAAATCATTCAACCATTCTTTTAAAGCAAACTGAAAGAAATTGGAATTAACAATAATATATGAATAATGCATGTATCATATTATATTCATTGTGAATTCCATTCCCTCCATTGTCTATTCTTAATTAATTATCGAAAAAAATTGAGAAATGATATTTATATAATAAATGTGTGTACAGTTTTTTTTTTACAAATTAGAGAAACGAAAAAAGAAAAGAGAGAGAAGGTGAAAATATAAGTGATGCGATGAAAAAGAAAAAGAAAATATTGTTGTAAAAATAATATAACTCAACCATTACCATTAGAAAAGTCACCTACCTGTTTTCTTACAGGACATGATGGTGACACAGTGCATCGATAATAAGCTCGGGGGCATGGATTTCCTTTTGCTATTTTCTGTCCATATTTTCTCCATTGGCATCCATCATTCATCTGTAAAAAAATTGGAAAATTTTTAATTTCAGCTTTAATAGAAGTCAACGAACTACAATATTGCAACGCATAGGAAGACAATAATCCAATTACAATTCATAAAACTAATTCGTCCCTTCATTTAATTTAGGTTTTTATTTTCTCTTAGCTTCCAATATTGGATTTCATTAGGGTTTGGTTTCTTTAATTTAAGATTATATAAAACGTTATATATTGGAACAAAAACCAAACCTATTGCATGTATTGTCAATAATTAGCATTAGTTTGAATAGCTTACTAACCGTTTGGGTATCACATCTGGTTCTGATAGAAACCCTAGCCTTCTTGAGCTGAATATGTTGAGAAGCTTCACTTTTTTCCCCAGTTTTCTTTGTCTTGAAAACTTTACTGGGGGGCCACATCTCATTTGGCTCCTCCTTCCTTTCCTCACCAAAGCTAGTTTCAGAGCTGGAATTATTTACAGCTTCAGCTGGATCAATTATAGGGTCAAAATTAATATCTAACCCAAGTGCAAGTTTTTTATCCATGCTTCTATATTCTCTCTTTTCAGCTATATTACTATTCTTTTCCTCCTCCATGGTATGCTTCCCTTGGGATGATATCCCTAGAGAAAGTGAGACAAGGTCACTTTCTTCATTTTCTTCATGCCTAGTTGTTATACCTTTAGCTTTTGTGGCATCTTCGGGTTTATCTTGCTGAAGGATGTCAAAGAAGTTTGTTTGTAGTGATTGATAATCATTTACAAGCCGCTCCAATAAGAACTTCAACCTCTTGTTTTCTTCTCTAGCCTCTCCCATTTCCCCCTTAGTTGATTCAAGCTTTTGATCCTGCATGTTGGTTAATCATAACACACAAAAGATGCAACTATAATATTAGAGACTATCTGTTTCTTTTGTATGTGATAACAGAGAGCAAAAGAGAGAAGAGGAATATGAAAAAGGTTGTTCTGAGTTTTACTCAATGAAGATTGAAAGGAGAAGTAGGCACGGGATTTTATAAGAATTCTAAACACAGGCTAAAGATGCAATTCATTACTTTATACTCTTAGGAAAGGAAAAGTGGTAATTATATCGGCGCAAACGTGTGTATGCTTTGCTCCTTTGACACTTGATGGGTTTAGAGGGATGACTAGAGTTATACTGCGTGTGGAAACATATGAAAAGTTTGTAAACAACGCATATGTTATAATTTATAAAATTGAAGTAAATATAAATTTATAATATTTATACATAAATTTGGGCTTTTAGCCCCGTTGATTAAAAAAATATATATTTATATACATAAATTTAAATATGTTAATATATGATTTGAAGTTTATTTTGTTTCATGGTGCCAATTTACTTCATTAGGGAGTCTCAACATATTTTTTTTTATTTTTTATTTAGTAACACTTTAAAATTAAATATGTTTTTATACTCTATTAGAAAGTATCAAATTACTCAATTAAAAGATAAAGGAGAAATAGTAAAATAAGCTATTTTCTAATAAGTATAAAGGTAAGTGTAAAAAGAATAGTATGTATCAGATTTTATTTGTATTTTACTTAGAATATTTTTCTTTTTAACTAATGTTTTAAATTTAATATTATTAAAAAAAAGTAGGAATTAAAGTAATGATAAAAAAAATTATTATTTTGATGATTATTTTATATTTTTAAAGGACTAATTAAAAATAATTTTTTTTGAAAGATTAATACGATAATATATATTTAAAAAAATATTAACAGTAATCTTTTAATAAAAATATATTAATTTTATATACTTAAAATAAGTTCTAATGATTGATGTTAATTAACGAAATCGCTAATTTTAAAGGACTATCTTAAAGGATTACCTCTATTTTCATTACACTTTTTTTTAGAATAATGAATAAAGACATAGTTTAAATATACATTCTTCTTTTTTTCAAAGGAAAAGTGTAAAAAATGTGCAATTTTTGAGATATGAAACTGTTTTGCGACCTCCATTATAATTAGTCTAAAGTGATGTAAAATAACAGTAATGTGAAACAAAAATTACACTGTACAAATATGATGCTCATTACGAAGTCCAATCGATGTAATATACCAACAACTTACAACGTTAACCATGACCAAATCATTATTCCTGTGTGCTCTGATTTCAAACATTGGTCCAGGAAAACAGGAGAAAGGGTAGATCCATGTCCCAATATAATTTCAGCTTCAAGACATCAGTGTCAAGAAACTTATTTTGAGTCTACGTTAGTATAAGTACTTATTTAATTTTTAAATAACAATTATGTTAATCTAACCATCAAAACCTGTTAGAATAAATTAAAAATATCTTATTTTAATAAGTTATATAAAAATAATTAATAATATAAGTTCTTTATAAGTTATTTCAAACATATTTATAGTTATTTTTTAAAAAAAATTACTTTTATTTTTAATGTTAACAAAAAAAATCCAAGACTAATAATTTTTAAAATTATATTTTATAAAATTGGAGACTAAAGTAAATAATCCTTATAATTAATTTTAAATATCAAAGTAATGACTTATTCACTTTATATGTGGTGACTTCGGTATGTTACAAGAGAACATCATAATTTAAATACGTATTTAAGAATAATGTGTGACTTGTAACATTGTCAATTTCTTTAACAAGGCTTTCCCTTAATTACTCCATTGCCTTTACTCACTTGTTAGTATTTGACGTATTATATTATTCGACAAATTATACTTTAATTCAGTTTATATGTAACTTTTTTTTATTAGCCCAACTTTTAATGAAAATATCAATTATTATGACTTATATACGAGTAGAGTCTATCCCAAAAAATTAGTTCATTAGAAACCAAATTGAATAAGTTTATAAATAAATACTTATAAAAAATAATATAAAAATAAATAATTTTTTATAATTTTAAAACTATTTATCAAGTTTAGAAAACTTAAATAAGATAAATTTAAAATAAATAAATATTAATCAATTTAGTTTATGAAAGAAATTAAATTTATTTTTATTTAATTTTTAACTTTTACAAGTACTTGTTAAAAAATTATAAAAAATAAGTATAAATAGAAAAGTTTCATAACTTGAATATTACATTAAACATTTTATTTTAACCAAAGTGAGATTCATAAAATTATATGAAATTTTCATTATACAGTTAAAGAAGTGAAATTTTTTTACTGTTAATAAAAATTTAACTATCAATATTACGATAGAAATATATGTAAGTGTTTATAATAATGTATAATTTTTTTATGATTAATTTATTATAATAGTTTTTAGATAAACTCATTTGTTTTTGAAGAGTGAAAGTCCTTATGTAAATCTTTTGTTCTCACTTAACACATGCACTTAATTTGAAGTATGACATGTTTGACTCAATAAGGGGAAATATGACCAAAATTCGATTGTATAGAAAAAGGAGAATGATCTTCCAAAGACATTATTTCTCTTTTGAATGTTGAGGTCAGTTATAGATCAAAATTCAATGAATCTATACAATAAATTACGCCAATCGAGACATGCACGCACGCACCAATCTATACTCTATAGAATAATAATTCTCTTATTATTCTATAGATTATTATTATTGTTATTATTATCTATATATAACATTCTTCATTTACTAATTAATTACAAAAATTATGAAAAAAAAAGAGAATTTAGAATATTCAAAGATCAATCACTCTTGCCACGTGTGGTTGTGTTATAATCAAAAGTAAAAGTACCTTTTAAAGGTTGAAACGCTAATTACAGAATACAGATATTCAGAACTCAATATGCATATAATTTCATGAAGCTCATGTAAGAAAAGAAACTCATTCACACAGAATTAAAGGTACATATATATAGGGTAAAGGAAATCACCTTCTGGCTGCCACTCACTTCATCGCCATCAGAATCCAAGAAATTATTATTATGCTCTCCCATAACTATATGATCTTCCCGAGAAGTGCTTCCTAAATATACATCTTTCAATGGCGACAAATTTCTTATATGAGCATGGCTTCTTATATGGTAAAGCCTTAAGAGATGTTGACTTCAATTATATAGCTGAAATTCAAAGAAGGGAGAGGCTTTGCCTTGCATGTTGATCACTGAAATGTCAATAGCCCATATATAAGAAGAAACAAGAATTATATCTACTTTTTTATATATATTATATATACTAGTTGGCTTGTTAGATGAAGATAAAATATGTTATAGTTCTGCCTTTCAACGTTTATGAAAGAGATTGGAGAGACATTTTAATTATTAGATAGAGAACTCATCCGTGGAGTAGAATAGATTTGAAGATTGATCAGAGAAAAATGTCACAAATTTAAAATGCCCATACATGCCACTCAAAGTTAACCACATGCATTTCATCAACTTGACAAAAGATTATGCATATATGCTTCCTCAATTTCGCTTTGTATGAACTTCCTTTTACCACTGTAAGTCTGTGTCAACATTCTCAGGGTCATCTTAATCATAATTTATTATTTAATCTTTTTCTTTTTCATTTAAAAAGTAACATGTAGATTGAACGATACAAGTAATATTTCTATATCAATATTAAAATAATTTTGACTTTTAAATACAGCCTTTCTTACTATTTTCTCTCATTATGATAAATGTGTAAAATATTAAAAAATGTAAACATAAAAATATAATTTAAAATTAATTTTTAAAATACGTAAGTCTATAAAAATATTTTTTAAAAGTAGATAATAATATGGTAGTGCAAATAATAACTTAAACAATAGTATTTGCCAAAAATACTATGCCTGATAAAAAATTTTTTTATCAAAAAGTATTTATTGAGACCAAACTTAAATGAAAAATATATATACAATAGATAATGATGCTATTATCATCCAATAATTAAATAATATAATATCTGTTATTGAGACGCCAATTTTAATTATGCGTTGAAATAAAATTGATAACTGCATCAAAATCGGAAAGTGATTGGAAAATAGTGCACATACTTATATTACTTATCTAATTTTAACTTATTTATTATAACAAAACACGACAAATTATTTAATGTGATTCTAAGTAAGTAAAAGTATGTAGTGCATAATATTTTCAAATAATTTTCTTAATATCATTTATTAGTGATACCCAAATACTATTAAATATTAACATTAATGGATTAATTAAAAACTCTTTAAATCATAAATACTTAAGGTATATTTTTAAATATAATAAATGATTAGTGATAAAACCAATTGGGAGGGAGTATATACAAGTAACAAGAAAATTGCGCATGCGTATTTATCTGAGTTTCTTTTAGGATTTATATTTTATCGTTACTGTAGTTGTATCTTTCTATATCTTTAATTAAAATAAACATTATTTATTTTCTAAAATAATATTCTCTTTCTGATATAATAAATTTTTTTACTAAGGTACTTTTTTTTATTGAAGGAACAAAAAGAAAATTAAAAAAAATGAGAATAGGTGTTTATTGTAGTCCTTTTCTCAATTTAGGTACGGAGGTTTTCAAAAGTAAAATAATAATAAAAAATAATAATAGGTGTCAGAATGTTTAAATTTTTTTTAACGAGTGGAAAAATAATAATAAAAGTAAAATTTAGTTGAATTTTTTAAATGTTATTTATTCTATTTGTTAATTTAAATACGATTTTTACTTTTAATAATATATAATATTTATTAAAATAAAATTCAAATTTTAATATAAATAACACTAACAGTACATAAAAAATAACATTAAATATATTATAATAATAAAACATTATTTAACTTTATAACGTCGATTATATGAATTACACAACATTAAAAAATAATTAAGACAAACTAAAAAAAATAAATTTTCCCAATTGTTTTTTATCTTCATTTAAGTAATAAAATTTGTGGATACATAAAAATTTAAAAGTAAAATTTTGACAATTTGAGAAAATGAAAATTTGCCGTCCAAACAAAGGGTGACGTAAGACTTTGCTGTAAATTAGGTTAGGAATTTTGCGTATTTGAAGATTCTGTTCTCATTATACTTTCAAAGTAAAAATGCTTTTTTTTTTCTCTCTACTATTTCTGACAATAAATTTGAGTCTAACTACTCAACGTGCACGTTGATCAAATTGTGCGAACAAATAATACTGGTTTTATTTTATTTTATTTTATGTGACATTTAGCAATTTTACTTTATTTTTATTTTATACGATTAAATAATAATTAATGTTTTATTTAGTAAAAGATAATAAATAGATCTGATATCAACTAATATAATAAATAGATCTGAAATTCCTTAAGAGTGTATATATATATTACATAAATTAATTAATCAAAGAGTTGGTAGGAGCATTTGACTCTAATGTGTGTGAAAAACAAAATATATTGATAGTAATTGATGGATGAAGGAATTAATTAAGATCCAGTTAAGTTGCTCAAGGCATGATCAGCATTAGTAGATTAATTAATTATTCCAACAAGTTAATTAACTTTATGATAAGAATAATAACTCCCTAATTTTCAAAGCCATTCCATGCTTTGAAGAGGCTGCAGCTGCATGGAAGAAAATGCAGGTCTCCAGGGCCGGCAATGCGTGGATCCATGTACATACTATATATGAAGCTACTCATTCTCTTTCTATTGTTTTATATAATATAATATATCATTTAAACAAAATATGAGTCTCACATTGAATATAATAATAATTTTAATATAATACTTAAATCATAAAATTTTCTTTTAAGTTAGACTTTCTCCACATGTTTAAGCTTTAATAATGCTTTTATTGATTTTGTTAACATATAGTTTTATCACTGATTTTAATTAAATAAAATTAATAATTTTATTTATTATTTTTAATGTAATAAATAAATACTTATTTTTTAAAATGAAATGCTGTCATCTTTAAATGTTTTAAAAAATCATAAAAATTGATGTTAATATTTATTATAAAATGTTTATACATATAGATAAACCTAAAACCTAATAATAAATTTAAACAACAATAATCATTATAAGTCACAGATGTACGTTGGTTACATTGCTATATAATGGATCCAGGTCAAAAAGGTAACAGTAATAATAACCCTAACATCATAACCCTTTTTTTTTTTCACAATCAACAATACTCTACACTAAATTTTCAAAGCTCGTTTGTTTTTCCGTTTGTGCAAACAGAGTTACAAACTTTAATAATATACAAATGGATGTAGATTAATTGAATTTACCTTAAATTTAATCAGTATAACTATTAATCCATTAGTTGACCAAACAATTCCCTATTATGACCGCTTTAATAACAAAATCAAATTTAATAATTTTTACACATTCAGATATAATTTTACATGATAAAAAAATATTGCCCGAGACAGGTTAAAAAGCACAAGTTATCTAGTTATTTGACATCACGTTGAATCTTTCATATCAAAATTTTATAACATCAAATTTCAATAAAAGAATGTAAGCAACATATTGATATTTTCATCTGTATATATAGATATAATATGTATTTCATTAAGTTTAGTGAATATAAGTAAATAAAGATCAATCATGAAATTATGGGTATGATTAAAGAATAGATACGTTTCAATAATCTCTCATAATCATGGAAATAAACTATCCTAAATATATTTTTTAATTAATAAAATTAATAATTCATATGAACCTAGTTAAGTCAGTCTAATAAGGTCAAGGGATGGAATTTGTCTTTGTGACCTTACGTCAATAAGAATGTTTAGCATTACTTAACAATCTACTTGACAAAATATGAGAGAATTCAACTTATCGTAGATTAATTAAAATGCAAGATGCTACAGACCATGACTTAATTTGATGCATTATTAAGATTCTTAAATATAACTAATTAAAGAAAAACCAACTAGTTTGTGTTTAATTAAGTTGATAATCTAACATCAATTGCACACGACTTTAAACAAGGTTTACCTTGCATTTTTTTATTATAGCTAAAATATATAAATTTACCAAAATTATGTGTATATTATGAACATATTTTAATTAAATTCAGGATTGTACAGTGTGGCCCCCCCCCCCCCCCCCACCACTTCTTCCAACGCAAATTTGAAGGCAACGGGAGAAAGATTTTTAAAAAATAAAAATCTTAAACCTAAATATTTATATTTCACAATGGGTGAAAAAAATGAATTAAGAATTTAACTCCTAACTTTTGTTGGATAAAAAAATTAAATTCGGCTAAAAATAAATGCAAAGTTGCAAACTATTAAACGTTATTGAGATGTATATTTAAATTAATTTTAATTATAAATTTGATAATAAAAAATGTGCATGGTGTAGTATATTAATTCTCGATGTAAATCAAGTAGTACATAAATTACACTTTTTCTTTTTGCAATTAGTTTAATTTTTATTTACCCTTTTTATTAATTATATTTTAATTTTTAAAGAGAAAAATTAGTATTTAACTTTTATATTATCTTACATAAACTTTTATGTTTATATTTATAAAATTTTGTATCTCGCTTTGCCCATTTAAAATTGTCATTCTGAGCATGCTTAACCTCTTGTTATATTTTTCTATTTATCTACATATCTAATTAATCCTAATAAATTTACGTCTTAAATTAGTTTCAACTTAATTTTTTAAAAGAAATTACTATTTAAACTAAATAAAAATCAAATTTCAAATTTTGGGGAGGGGGAAGGTAAATCAGCAAAAGCTGCGACCTCACCTCTCTTCTGTTGATGGACTTGAGAGTGGAGCAAATGAATATTTATAATGAGTAAATAATTAAATTAGAAATGAGTACTCTTAGAATGATATCTCAAAATTTCTCAAACAATTCTAAGCTAGCAGAATGAAGTGATTAAACACATTTCAAAGTGGAGAAGCTATGGAAGAGGGGTTGTAACTTCCAAGAGTCTTTACACATTGCACAAGTGGGTCTATCTGTCCCATTCGTAATCTGCTGCAAATCTTGGGTTGGCAGTATTTGCTCGGCTAAATACCTCTGGCTTTATGGAGTTTGCAAAAGCATGCCAACCTAGAAGGTATGGCATGATATACTGCATTCAAAACCACCAAATATTAAGAGCATATTTGATTTCCTTTTTAAAAATAGAAAACATGTTCTAAGACATTATTTTTTGCATTGCCTTCTTTTTTTTTTTATTTACACCGCTATTTTATTGTTAGTTCTGGAATTTAATTTTTAGAAGTGTGTTTAATAACTTTCAAAAATTACAGTTCAAAAGTGTTCAAAGTCATTTACAGGTCACTTCAAAAATTTATACCCTCTGAAATTTAGTTTCCATAAAGTGTTAGACATACTTCCAAAAATTAAATTTTGGAAGGCACAGAAAAGAAGGGTAGTGCGAATGGTAAAAAAAAAATGTGATGTAAATAACAATCCCCAAATATTAATCAAGTTGTGTGCAGAAAGGGCCAAAATCAAGAAAGAAAGAAACATATAGTAGAACAACCTGTTTTTAAGTGCTATATTTGGCATATTGAATAAACATGACTAGGAACTTTTCATTTCAAATTATAAATAAATTGTCTGACAAAAAGCAAAAATTCTAAAAACCTTGAAGATTTCCTTAAGATAGATTTGATTTCTTCTTCTCTGGTATAGTGATCAGCCATTTCCATTTTAGAAAAAGCCTTTCCAAAATGAACTTGTCTTTAATGTAAGTACGTAAGGTTGTATCGACCCTTGAATTTTAGTGGGGGAGAGAGAGAGAGAGAGATCATACATTGAAAATTGACCTGAAAACTGCTAGCTCTGCACTCGCAACAGGTATATAGATGCTTTCCTGAGTTTCGTCCATGTTCTCTGGCTTGTTTTGATTTTCAACACCTTTGAAAATTGACACAACAATGTCAGAACCGAAGTAATGCTTTGTTTGTTTTGGTAGAAAAAATAAAATAGGGATAGAAAAATGTAAGAAAGTAAAACTTTCATTTGTTTAGGTATTTTATCTAATATGAATGGTAAATAATCTATCATCCAATGTTTAATTTTCTCACACGAAATGATGAGATTTGAGTGGGACAGGGACACAGGTCTTTTAATTTTTTATATTTTATTGAAAATAATTTTTCAAATAATACTAAAATATTAAAAAAATAATTAAATAATTAACGAAAAATATTACATTAAAATTTTTATTTTTTATCTGTTAAAATACATTTTTTATTGTTATTATAATTTTTTACTCTCTTTTTTATTTATCTAAATAAGTAAAAGAAATTTGTCTCAATTCTTTCTCTCTTATTTCTATTCATCCAAACAAATCTTTCTTATCTCATTTCTCATCATTTTCTTTTCTACTTATGTTTTTTTCTGCTTATTTTCAATTTCATTCAAACATAGCATATATGTTTACATCAAGACTGATCAGATAAATTGTGGGTATTAGCATAAGTATGAATAAGATAATTTATTTTATCAAGACTAATCACCATAAAAAATTAAAATATTGCATCACTAAGCAAGCTATTTGCAATTTATACAAAATAGTGTACTTAATCAACCCAGGTGTAGAGTATCCCAACAACTTCAAGACGACATGAAGACAAAATCAAATTGATAAAAAAACAGTAATAAAAGTTTATGAAGAAAGGGAATTACGTAAGTTAAATAAGTGTCCAGTAGCATCGGGAAGTGGCTCCACTTTCAAAACTTTTCTGACTTCAACTTCACTACATAACAAAACAATTTACAATATGCTTTAAAAGGATAAAATCGTAGCAGCACAACTTATGGAAACAAAAATCAACAAGAAAAGCTTATAAAAACAAGCTATGATTTCCATAAGCATTGTTTAGCTTATATCAATAAACTTGGTATAGTTTATTAAACTAAACTCCTTTCAACTCATTTCAAGAAGTTTCATAACTAAATTTATGTCATAAACCCCCCTCATGAGGTAAGAGTTTATTGAGTAAGTGCTTAATTAAACTATCTACTCAAACACACCTTTAGTTAATATATATGAATCCACATCTATGGTCATATTTCATATGCTCCATGGTTTGAAGACATCATTGTATCCCCCTTCCCATATAAAAAGGAAATTCAATTTTTAAAGATAAAGCAAGCAATAATAAAAAAACCTTATCAATATGTTGACATGCTATGTGTTGGATTCATTAAAATAATTAAAGGTATGGCATAGAAAGTACCTTTTTTGCTTAAAACTATCATGAAAAAGTTCACAAGAATCTCTTGCACCAAGGCCAATTATAGTTCCCATTTCACTGACTGACAGTGAGAAAATCTGCATTCAAATAAAGTGGACAATTACCTCACGTTTTAAACTCTAAGACTACATTCAACAGAATCATAAATTCCAATGAAATCATATCGATTTTTCTTCTTTATTCAAAGGAAAGACCATAACTGATGGGCCTTGGGGGTAGCCCACAAGAGGTCTGCTGAAGAGGAGGGGAGAGAGAAACAGAGACAGTGTGCATTGCAAGGTTTGAACCTGCATACCCCTTGCATGTCCCATGGCCCTACTACCAACTGAACTGTCTCAAAGGAACAATGAAATCATATCTTTATTTTTCCCAAAGAATGGATAAAAAATTCATTCAGTTGGGTAGGCAATGGCAAATATACAGAGGCATGGAGTCAATGGACAATGATATCAGTTGATAATGTCTTAACCAAGGCTCATTGAATAACAAAAGTTTCCTTAATTTCATCATACATGAACAAAATTATAAACATAGACATGAAAAATAAAATTTCAGTTTTACAGAATGAGCTTGTGCTGAACACCCTCAAGCAAGGCCCATTCAAACTCAAGTCCAACGACTGCACGGATTTCTCTCTACGCATTAAATTTTTGCTTATCTACATCACTAATTTCTTACATACAAAAAAAATTGACTGCCAGTATCTTCCATCAAACTAGCATACTTTCCAATAAAACAAAAGTTCCCCGAGAGTGAAAATAACACAGTTTGACTACTAGAGTCGTCTCCAGAGGGATATATAAATATAAATGTCACTACATTTTTGTATTTAGAGAACAAACAGCAAGGAATTTTAACCACCTAACCAGAACTTCCGAAGTATAAAGATTAGTTGTATTTTAGGTGAAATCCTAAGTTACTCGGTGTAATACTCTCATACGTTAAGATTCATTCTAAATTTTATTAAATTATATTTTAAACATAATCTAACAAGTCATTTTTGTCCACACATGATTTTGGTGGACTTGGCATAGCACACTCTAAGGTTGTATTTGGATGGGGCATTTTAAAATTTCTACAATTCATGTATTTGAATAGTAAAAATAAATAAATAAATTAAAATACTATATAATTTTAACAAGATAATTTTTATGCTAAACAGAAAGAATTTCAAATGACTTGTTTTTAAAATGAATTTTAAATCCTCTTTATTATGCTTAACTTCTTATATTTATCATTCATAACTCCTCTCACACTTGACTCTCCCTCTAAGCATTTCCATTATTGCTTTCATATTTTCTAAAATTTTAAAATCCCACATCCAAACACAACCTAAGGGCCATGCTTGACAGTAATAATCATTCCTCCCACCATTGCAAACATTCCAAAGTGAAATCTATTGCTGAGATTATTTTGGATACATATCCGAGTTACATTCAACAATTCAAAATTAATTTTATTAAAATCAATTTTACACAACTTTAAAACAAATAGGCCGTAAGAATACATAACAATTTCTTACATTTTCGGGAGAGGAGATACTAAGCATAGAATCTACAGAAGAAGCAGAAGTTACCTGCTTTCTGCTCCAATCATATTGGGGCCTATCACCATCAGTACCATCTGAAGGAGCAAACTGGAGGAGCAGATAACCCTCCCTAGATACTTTGAATGCCCCAGACTGCAAAACAAAAACACCACAATCTTACATAACTAAACAATTCCACACACAAACATCAGAAACTCCGAACATTGATTCCTCCTTCACCAATTGAAAGAACCAAAGGATCCAAAAGAAAAAGCATACATCTTTTGTTTCAAATTCCGGAGGTCTAGGAGACACTGTGAGTACACCCTTCCTTGTATAAATGGAGTAACCCACATAAAACTTTCGCTGCAATTCCCCAACTGAACACACAAACAAACCCAGAATATTAAAAAAAACAAAAATCAGTGTCATCATTTATCATGAAACATCAGTTCTAAGCAACTTTCTTAACTTACCCATTATTCCATACTAATTATTGACATCAGAAACGGGAAAAAAACGCTGATTTTCCTTTTTTAAAAAAAGAACTTTTGTTGTTGAAGAATAAGAGTGGTGTACCTGGAGAACGTTGTTGTGGTGGTGAAGGGAATGGTTTGGGTTGGATGAGTTGGGAACTGTGGCATTTGACAGAGAGTGATGGAAGTGTGATGGAGAAGGTGATTGTGTTAAACGTAACGTTGTTGCGCTTCAAAGAAGTGAACTTTGGAGTGGTGAGAGGGTGGGTTCGCTTAAACGTGATGGAGGAGTGAAGCTGCGACATCATCTTCTTCCCCTCATCTTCCTTTTCATTTCTATCCTCTCTTATTTATATTTTTTTTTTAATTTTTTAAAACAATCAAATATGCCTTTAAAAAGAGTTACGGTTAGCGATTAAAACAGGTTAGGTTTTACTCTAAACAAGCTTAGTCTGTAATATAATTATTAGGCCTGAGCCTAACAAGTTATCTGTTAAAGACTTTGTTTTAGGCTTGACCTGACCTATTTAAGTAGTTTTCCTGACTTGAAGTCTAGTAACAAAGTCTGTTAAAAAAAATTAATATTAATAAAAATATAAATATTTTATTATTAAATTAATTTATATATTTTTCTATTCTTAATAATTATTAAATAATTATAATAATATTTATATAATTTTATAAATAATTTTTAAAATATTATTTAAATATTAATTATAAATATTTTATATTAATAAAATTTATATTTATATTTTTTATTTATTTTTTAAAATTATATAAATAGTAAATATTTTAGTTTTATTTTAGAAACATATTTTGTTTATTTAAAAACATCTTATATTCAACAAATAAAGTTATAGTAAATACATAAAATTGATAAAAAATAATAACATTCACACAGTTTGTTGAATCAATTAAAAGAAAAATATATGTTTTAAAAAAAATTAATTTAAACTTACTGCAATATATATATATATATATATATATATATAATGACAATAATAATAACTATTAAATTAAAAAAATAATTACAAAAAATAACACTTATAAAATTTATTAAATCAGTTAAAAAATTATTATATTTTAAAAAGTAAATAAATATTGTCATTATAAAAATTGTAAATGATAAATACTTATATTATAAAATTTATATATGCAGAAAAATAACATATGAGCATAGGAAGAATTATTAAAATTTATATTTAAATTAAAATAACTTATATTTCTAAATTTTTATCTTAATTAAAAAATATGTAATAAAACTTAATATAAAAATTTAAACTTAATGTACTATATATATATATATATATATATATATAGGAATATAACTGTTAATTGTTTATGGCTATGTTCTGCTGGATCTGGACTTTAAATTTCTTTATGAAATTTCTGTAACCATGGTTTATAGGCTGGACAGCTGACAGGCCCTTCGGGTGAGACCAGTTATGGTCGTCCCTGTCTGTAACAACGCCACGAACTAATGGTTCTGAAATATTGCTTTTGTATAGTTCTATGTTTTATGAAAATCTTTTACTGGAAGTACAGCAGTTCTTTGTTCTTTTGAATAGGGCTGTAGCAGTAAGTCCCGTATGGTTGAAAGGGAAGTAAGGCTAATTTGACGATGCTGTATTCAAAAGGAACTAAGAACATAAGAAGCTGGTGGCTATAGTGAAAGAATTTTTCAGAATTTTGTAAGTAAGTAAAAAAAAAAAAAAGTTCACAAATAACCAGATCCTGTTGAAACAGTTATAAATAATTAACAGAAGTATTGTTACGGAACCAGATGAGGGTGATGAGCAAGATGTTTTTATATCATGTCTAGACTTTTACGCTCTTTCTCTCGTATTTCCTTTCGCTCTGGCTCTAGTTCTTCATCCTCCTCTCCCACTAAAACCAATCTCTTTGATGACCAAGAGAAACATTCTCCTGAAATTACACCCAAACACAACCTCTTCGACGAAGAAGTTCGTTTTGAAGAGATCAATCAAAGTATGGATGACTGGACCATCCCAGTCATTCCTCAGGATACATTATATGTTCCTGAAGATCAACCCAAGAAAAACAGTTCTGATTACATTATCAAGACTGTTGAAAACAATATCCCTTTAGGAAAAGGTATAGGAGAAGAATTTCATCTCCTGTCTAAATCCTCTCTCAATGACCATAAGAGAAAATACAAATACCTTCACATAGGATGTGTACAGGTAGCAATTAAACCTTTGATAGACATAGGCATAGATGCTGCTGTCTTAATTTGTCTAAGAGATATTCGTCATAATAAGTTTGATGATTCTCTTATAGGAACAGTTGAAACCTGTCTCGGTCAAGGTCCGATTTATTTTAACTGTTTTCCCAACAAAACTGTGAGTCTTATGGATGAACACATCCTAGACTCCTTGTTTCTCAATATTTGCTTTCATGGGTTAGACATGAAAGAGGGATCTATTCCCGCAGCCTTAATCTATAGGATTCAGTATAAGGTTATGAACTCTTGTGCTTATAGAGTCCTTCTTAAGCCACAAAAAGGAGAAACTACTTTGTTTATTACTGATATGACAAAGGCTAATGTTTCTTTACCTAGAATTATCAAATGGGATGAGGTTACTCTCCCAGAAAAATGGGTTATAGATAAAGCCTCACCCAGTGTTCCTTGTCCTGCTCCTCAAATACAAGATATTTCACAGGACAATTCTGGAAAGGTTGAAATAACCTTTGATAGGAGAAACTCTTTCTCTTCTAGGATCGATGCTTATAGTAATCGATCTGACTTTGTCTCTGCTAGAAGATCCTTTTCTTCTAGATCTTATATTAGACCTGATATTCCTAGGTCTGTTAATCATGACCCATCTTTAAATCTCCAGGGTTTAGACACTTCTTCTAGGATTCCTAGAAATGTTTACCAGACTTCTGAAAAGGAAGACGAAAATCAGAGTATCCAATCTCCAACTTACTCTTCCCTTAATGAGTCTTATGATGTTATTTCATAAATTCATTATAGATAAGGAAATCCTTAGGAAAGATTTCTACTCTGAGGAATGGAAACTTCAAAGAGAGTGGTTCTTTCAAAATTATAAGGGAAAAAATAGGTATGATATCCAAGAGAAATTCTACCAATTTCTCGAAAAAGTCAAACAAAACATCCCATTCTTTGATTAGTATCATGCTTATACCATTCATAATAATATTGATTATCCTTGGCAAGAGGATGTTATTAGTACCTCCTCTGCTAATGTTATATCCTGGCAAATCAAAGACGGACAAATAGTCCAAAGTGATTTGCCACCCACATCTCAATACCAATTACCCAATTTGAGGCGGTAACCCTGTTACTGCCACTCCTTTTAAGTCAAAAAACCCTGAAGAGTCTATCACTCCTCATGACATCCAAGGCCTTATGGAACAGGCCAATTATACCAATAAATACTTTCAGGTTTTGGGAGAAAAAATCTCTGTTAATCCTGTCAAACCAAAAATTGAAGAAGTAGCCTCTTCATCCTCCCAACCACAATTAGAAAAACCTCTGTTTAAACCTTTTAAGATTAGTGCCAAAGCTAAGCAGAAAATCTTAGAACTCAGGCAAAAAGAAAAAGCCAAAGTGAATGAGGAAAACCAGAATGAGTTGCTTAGTAAAATTACTAGCATCCTTACTACTATTCCCGACACTCCTCAACCTTCTGAGGAATCTAGTGCTAAACTCAGGACTAGGTCTCTTGCTAAAACTGTTAATGTTATTTCCAAGGCTGATTCAGAACATTGTTCTGAAACAGACTCTGTTTTAGCCATCAATCCAATCAACAATTGGAAAAATTCATCCAAGCTTTATTATAATAGAGCTACTGCTCCTGACCTCATTTTAGAAGATAAACAAGATTTTATTCAAAGTTTCAATTCTAATGATATTTATATTTGGAATATCGATGGATTATCTGAATATAATATCATTGCCAAACTCCAAAATATGTCGGTTGTCGCTATGGGTTATTTTACTAATCAAAATATGCCTGAAGACACCATTGTCTATATTCTCGTTGCTGGTTTTACTGGCCAACTCAAAGGTTGGTGGGATAATTATCTCACTGAAGCTGATAGAGATAACATCCTCTCTGCAGTTAAAATTGATGATAAGGGGAAAACCATTGTTAATGACAATGAGCGTCTCCCTGATGCTGTGTATACGTTGTTATACACAATATCCCAACATTTTCTTGGTGATCCTTCTCTTTGGAGAGAAAGATCAGGAGAACTTCTTTCAAATCTTAAATGTGAATCTTTAGAAAACTTCAAATGGTATAGAGACACCTTTATGTCTAGGGTCTTAACCAGGGAAGATTGTAATCAAGCCTACTGGAAAGAAAAATATCTTGATGGGCTTCCTAAAGCTTTCGGAGATCTTATTAGAAGTAAACTCCGAAGTCGTTCTCCTACTGGAGAAATCAATTATGATAGTTTTGATTATGGTCAGCTTACTGCTATTATTGTTCATAGCGGTATTAAAGCCTGCCAAAAAGATAAACTCCAAAAACAGCTTGCTAAGGAAAAGGCCTTGAGCAGAAAAGAATTAGGTTCGTTCTGCGAACAGTTTGGTCTTCCACCTTGCCCCTCCAGTAAGAAAAAACATGCTCCTAAGAAAGAGGCTGTTGATTCTTACAAAAAAACCCTACAAACGCAGATACAATAGAAAACCTAATTCCAAGAGTCACGGGGAAAATATCATCCCTACAAATATTCCCAAAAAGCCCAGAACAGGCATAACCTGTTATAATTGTGGAAAGCCTGGCCATATTAGCAAATATTGCAGGTTAAAGAAAAAGATTAGTAGCCTCAATCTAGAGCCTTCTTTAGAGGACCAGATCAACAATCTCCTGGCTAATACCTCTGATGAAGATTCTGATAAAGAATCTGAAGAAGAGGTCAACCAAATTCAAAATGATGACCAAGTTTCCTCTTCTGATAGTGATGATACTCCAGAAGTCAATGTTTTAACAAAAGAACATGATCTTCTTTTTGAAGCTATAAGTTCTATTTCAGATCCTCAAGACAGAAAAGAATTTTTAAATAAATTTAAGGAGGTTTTAGAAAATAAACCTAAACCCAAAGAATATTTTACCTCAAACAAATTCGACATTACAAATATTTTTAAAAGACTAGAAAAGAATTCTAGTATTAAACCCACCACTATTCAAGATCTCCAGATTGAAATAAATAGTCTTAAGAAAGAGATCAGAGAAATCAAAGATCAACAACAAATTCATCAAGTTATCCTTTCTCAGTTAGATGATGAATCTGATATTGAGAAAGTAGAACTTCCTGAAGATAATGATTCTTTAAAGGTTGATTCTGATAAT